CCAAGACACATCATAATTAAAATGCCAAGAGCAAAAGATAAAGAGAGAATCTTAAAAACAGCAAGAGAAAGAAACTCAGTTACCTAAAAGGGAATACCCATACGACTGTCAGCTGATTTCTCAACAGAAACTTTGCAGGCCAGAAGGGAGTGGCAAGAAATATTCAAAGTGATGAATACCAAGAACCTACAACCAAGATTACTTTATCCAGCAAAGCTATCATTCAGAATTGAAGGTCAGATAAAGAGCTTCACAGATAAGGAAAAGCTAAAGGAGTTCATCACCACCAAACCAGGATTATATGAAATGCTGAAAGGTATCCTTTAAGAAGAGGAAGAGGAAGAAAAAGGTAAAGATACAAATTATGAACAACAAATATGCATCTATCAACAAGTGAATCTAAGAATCAAGTGAATAAATAATCTGATGAACAGAATGAACTGTTGATTATAATAGAATCAGGGACATAGAAAGGGAATGGACTGACTATTCTTTGGGGGGAAAGGGGTGTGGGAGATTCGGGAAGAGACTGGACAAAAATCGTGCACCTATGGATAAGGACAGTGGGTGGGGAGTGAGGGCGGAGGGTGGGGTGGGAACTGGGAGGAGGGGAGTTATGGGGGGAAAAAAAGAGGAACAAATGTAATAATCTGAACAATAAAGATTTAATTAAAAAAAAAAAAACAAGAGCTGTGCAGGTGTGTGTGTGTGTGTGTGTGTGTATGTGTGTGTGTGTGTATTTAATTGTAAAATATTTAGTTATCTAGTTCAATCATGAATCTATTATAGATGTGAGATGACCGGGGGCTCAGTTCAACCCAAGGGGTATTTAGTATTTTTCAGACAGCTCTAATTGTTTAAAGTTCTATTTAAAGATAAAATCTGACTTTATATAGCTCTCACTCTTTGGCCCTATGCCTGCATTGAAAAGCAGAAAATAAACCATCTTCTACAAAACAGCTCTTCAAAGATCTGAAGACAGGCATAGGGCCTTTCCAACTGTGTTCTCTGCTCCCACATCACCTGATCTCCAGCTCCCCTTCTCCATCCCTCCCTTTGAGCACTTTAGTTCATCAGTGATGTGCTTAAAATAAGGCACTCGGACTGAACTTCTCCTGGTATGGCCCAAGGTGTACAAAATAGCGAAGAACTCTAACTTTCTGTGATCTTGAATGCTGAACATCAATTCAGTTAGGTAAAAGCAGCCACTTGACTGCTGTTATAAGAACATCAATTTCAAGGTTTCCGGCAGAGAGAGGACTTGTTTAATTCATTTTTTAAATAAACCAACCTTACACTTACATTTACAACAGGCTAAACATTCATGCCTTTTGATACAGAAATACCAACTGTGTCCTCTGTTCCCACATTACCTGGGATTTATATATAAAATCCTCACCCAAGGAAATTTATTGATTTTACAGAGAAAGGAAAAGAGAGAGAGAAACATCGGTCTGAGAGAGAAACATTGATGGCTTCTTCATGTATGTGCTGTCTTCCTTTTATTAATATTAACTAGCTAATTATGATGCTAACAAAGGAATTAAAAAATGTGAGAGCACTCATTGCAGCCTTGCACTACTTACCTGCTTTAAAGAGGAAGCCTGCAGCTGGTAGGTATGGTAACGTAGGTCCAAACATTCTAGAAGGTACTTTGGCAAAACATAGTAAAAGCTTTAAAAGTGTGCAGTTCTTTGAACCAGGAATACCACTTCTAGGAGTTTATCAGGAGTAAAATAAAACCTAGATGCCCATGGAAGTTTAGTTGAAAGGACAAGTCACAGTGGCATTCATTAAATTTTTAAATTATAATTAAATAGAAGAATGTTTTGTTTTAGAGCAGTAGTTTAGCTCTGAATTGACTCACACTCAACAAGAACAACGACAAATAGAGAAACCAGCTGCAGCCTCCAAAGTTTTGTCAGGAGCTGCCAAAGGTGAGAAAGAGTAGGAAACCTGGTGGAAAACCTTGAATGAGAAGGGGATGTAGACTCTCCGAGAGCTTAGAAAGCTCTTATTATTATTATTCCTTTCCAGAACGGGAAAACCCCACTTTGAAAGGGAACTATGAAAACAAGTCCTAAATCATACAAAGAAAGATTGCTAGGGACAATGGAAAGCACTGGAAAAAGAAAAGTGGGCGCCTTCTCTTAGAAACAAAGGCTGTAAAGAAATCTGGGAAAGAGAGATGGACAGAGAAGCTCTCATCAACCCCGCTTTGAAATCCAGAGAAGAGGTGACTACTCACAGAGGCCATGTCTGAAGTTTGTCGCTGTGGCAACAGAAAGAGTTCCCCTGGCCACACCTTTCCACCCCTCCAACACTTGTTCAAGGCACAAAACAGTGGAGCAACGCCTACAAGACACTCAAAGAAAAGTAAAGTTTAAGTATAAAGCCTATAGACAAACATATTGAAAACTGTAAGAAATCAGGAAATATCATGAGCCTTTTCTGAGGAACCTACTAGAACCATGGAATAGCAGTCTCAGTACTACTGAGCGAGTCTGAGGAAATCCAGATAAAAGGCCCCTCCCTGAGCATGAAATGTATTTGACTACAGAAATGAGAGTAAAACCAACACAGAGTTTAGGATGACAGATCAGAATGCAAATGTGACATTCCTTAATATGATAGATATTTCTCATCACTAATAAAAAACTGAAGAAGAAAGAGAGAAGATAGGAATAAGAATAAGCTCACTGCCCGGCCAGCATGACTCAGTGGTTGAGCATTGATCTGTGAATCCGGAGGTCACGGGTTCGATTCCAGGTCAGGGCACAGGCCCAGGTTGCAGGCTCGATCCCCAGTGTGGAGTATGCAGGTGGCAGCCCATCCGTGATTCTCTCTCATCACTGATGTTTCTAACTCTCTCTCTCCCTCTCCCTTCCTCTCTGAAATCAATAAAAACATATATTTTTAAAAAGAATAAGCTCACTGATCACCTCAAATTAATTGATTCAAAGGATACTATTTAAAAATTCCAAATAAAGTAGAAGCTTAAGCATATTTAACATAAACACTAGGATTGATAATTCCATTGATTGTATTATGGAGGAGGGGTCAGGGGAGAGGATGAGATTACAAGATAATTTTATTATTGTTCATAGTGGGTATTTAGAAGATACAGTCCCTAAAGTATTTTATAAAGGTAACTTCTAGAACAAAAATACAAACCTTCCTAAATATCAGAACCACATTAAGAAAAAGGGCAACTACATAATGAAAACACATTAAAAAGTATAGAATTGAGACCAAACATATCTGTTATCTCAATAAATATAAATTAGTTTAACTCATCTTATTTATTTATTTATTTATTTGTAATTTTTTAAGTCCTCACTTGAGGGTATGTTTTTATTACTTTTTTAGAGGGAGGGAGAGAGAGAGAAAGATAGAGACAGAGAAAGAAAGAAAGAAATGCACCCCGACCAGGGATAAGAACCTGCAGCCTAGGTATGTGTCCTGACCAGGAATTAAACCCACAGCCTTCTGGTGTATGGAGAATGCTCCAACCAGCTGAGCCACCCAGCTGGGGCTAACTCATCTACTTTAAAAATAGTTTTCAAAATAGATTGCAAAGCCCAATCCAACTATAGGCTGTATACATATAAGACAAAATAATTCAGAAAGCTTAATAATGAAAGGATGGGCAAAGAAAAGCATACAAGAAAAATACAAACTTTAAAACTCTTAATATCTGACAACATAGAATTCAGTACAAAAAGCTTTAAGCAAAATAAAGAGAAGTAGTTTTTAATGCTAAAGGCCACAATTTACCATAAAAATTTAAGATATGAGTATATATGCACAAAATAATACAGCAGGAACTTTCATATAATAGAAACTATAGAAATGCAAGGAGATTTAGACAAAGATACACTAATAATAGAAGACTTTGATTTGCTTTGCCCAATTCCAAACAAATCAAGTAGTCAAAATTAAGTGAGAATTTAGAAGTCCAAACAATATAATCAATAAGGTAGATGTTACTGATACGTATCAAACATTATGCCCTGAGAATAGAGAATATACTTTCTTATCAAGTGGTCTGAAATATTTGTACACACAAAAGATTATATGTTAAGCCATAAACCAAATCTCATTAAATCTTCACAGTAAAAATAATATAGATAGCATTCTATAATAACAACACAATAAACATTGACATTTATAACATACTAGCATTCAGAAAACAAAGAGTGCCCTTCTATTTGGATGTGTGTGGGGGTATATATTAAATAAGCCCATAATCAAATGGAAAATACAAATTCAAAACCACAGAATTTCTAGTAAACAATAATAATGAGCATATATAGAAGGATCTAGGAATATAGTTAAAATAGTACTCAAAGAAAAATTCACTGCCTTAAATAAGTTTAGCAACATAAATAAAAGAAAAATAAATGAAATAAACAGCTGGCTTAAGAAACAAGAAAAAGAATTATAAAATAAACCAAAGGAAAGCAAAAGAAAAAATAAAGATAAACACAGAAATTAATCAGTTAATCTAACAAAATATAGAACTTATAAATAAGTAAGCTTATTCTTTTAAAAAATTCAATAAATTAGGTAAGTCACAAGCTAAGTTAATCATAATGAAGGAAATGCACTAAAATCCAACCAATAAAAAGTTACAAATGGGAAATAGTCACACAAATATTAGAAAGTAGAAAACAAAGCAAAAACAAAAAAGAATACCTTATACAATTTTATGCAGATAAATTTGAAAACCTATATGAAATATATAATTTCATCAGAAACTAAAGATAGAAAACCAAAATAGACCAATTTGCATAAATTTTTCAAAATAATTTGAATATAATATTATGCATAATATAACATATAGATATAATGTTATAAAAGTTACAATAAAACTTTTAAGAAATAATTTTGTCAAAATAATTAGATAAAATTTGTCAAACACCCTTCTCCCTCCTCCCAGAAAACGTAAGAAACATCAGGTTCATTGTTTTATAGGGAAATTCAACAACTCTACTAACCTTTAAAGAACAAATTATTCCCGTGATTTTTGAAAATGCTCCATAGCCTAGAAAAAGAACAAACTCATTTCAAAAAGAAAATATAAGTACATTGATATCAAAATATAATAACAATTGTAAGAATAAAGAAAAATAGGCCAATATCATTTAAAAATATCAATACAAAACTCCTAAATAAAATTTTAGCAAACAGAATCCAAAAGCACACTGAAAGAAGAATATATTATGACCAACTGGTCAGTGTGGCTAAATGGTTGAGCATTGACCCATGGACCAGGAGGTCACAGTTTGATTCCCTGTCAGGGCACATGCCTGGGTTGTGGTCTTGACCCCCAGTAGGGGGCATGCAAGAGGTAGCTGATCAATGATTCTGTTGCATCATTGATTTTTCTATCCCTCTCCCTTCCTCTCTCTGAAAACAATAAAAACATATTTAAAAATAAATAAATAAAAGTTATTTTTTAAAAAGAATATATGACCAAATGGAGTTTATTTTAGGAATGGAAATAAGGTTCAATATTAGAAAATCTAATATAAATCATATTATGAACTACTGAACCACTGAGCCAAACCAGTGGGGTCATCTAAATAGAAAATCATGGGTAGCTTTATAAATACTGAAAACGCATTTGATAAATACTTATTCTTGATTTAAAACATTTAGAAAAATGGGAATTAATGGGTACTTTCTCAAAATGAAAAAAAAATTCTTAGCAGAAAAGCAATAGTTTGCTTAACAGGGAAATGCTAGAGACTCTAATATATAGAATATGTTAGGCTTAATAACCAATGCATTGTAGGCATGAGAAATAAATTAGTGGTAAAAGAATTGAAGAAAAACATTCTAGATTATTTTTCTAGCGTATCCTCTAGAATTCTCTTAAGGTTTCCAGACCCAAAAGGATTGGAGAGGAATGTTCAAGGTAGTATTAGGAGGTGAAGGAAAGAGGATGAGCAAAAAGAGGAGGAAGGGAAGGAGAAAAGGAAAAAATGAAAAGAAAGAAAGGTTTGGTGGTTTGAATACATTTGACACTCCATCCAAAATGTGGAGCCTATTTTTTTAAATGTGTTTTTATTGACGAGAGAGAGAGAGGGAGAGAGAGGAAGGGTGAAGGAGAGATAGAAACATCAATGAGAGAGAAAATATCAACATTAATCAGCTGCCTACTGCATGGTCTCAATAAGGATCAAACCCATAACCTGGTATGTGCCCTGAACAGGAATCGAACCGGTGACATCCTGGTGCATAGGTTGATGCTGAACCACTGAGACACACTGGTGGGGTCAAAATACGGAGCCTAATTTTCATGCCCCTGAATGTGTACTGGACTTAGTGACTAATGAATAAGTCAAAAATGATGTTATGTGACCTAGGAATCCATGTCATGAAAGATATTGTAGCTTCTACCTTGCTGTTTCTTGATTCATCTGCTCTGAAGGAAGACCCCTGCCATATGAGGACACTCAAGCAGCCCTGTGCAGAGGTCCATAGTGAGAAACTGAGATCTGTGGCAAACAGCCATGTGAGTGAGCCATCTAGGAGGTGGCTCCTCTGGCCCTAAACAAGCCTTCCCATACATGAAGCACCAGCCAATAAATGTCCTGAAACCTCATCAGAGATGCTGAGCCAGAACCACCCAGTTGAGCTCCCCCAGCATTCCTAATTTACAGAAATTGTGAGATAATATTTATTGTTTTAAGTCACTAAGTTTTGTTATGCAGCCATATAACTAATACAGAAGGCAAAACAAAGTCATTTCAGGTGGATAAAAAGTGAACATGCCACCAGCAGACCTATAGTAAAGAAAATGCAAACAAATTTTTCATGCAGAAGGAAAATAAAACCAGATTGTAAGAGATAGAGAAGGAATGAAAAACAAGTAAAGTGATAAATGTGTGTATAAATCTAATGTTTCATCGGGTTTTAAAATATACCACAAGAATAAGATCTAAATAAGTGGAGAGATACATCAGAATTATGAATTGGAAGATTCAATGCTGTTAAATGTTAGTTCTTCCCAAATTGACCTATAGATTCAATGCAATCCCAATTAAAATCCCAGCAGCCTATTTTCTAGAAATTGGCAAACTAATAATAACATTTGTATCAAAAAGCAATAGCATAAAATAGCCACAAAATTTTTGTAAAAGAACACAGTTGGCCTTGGCCAAATAGCTCAGTTGGTTGGAACCTTGTCCTGATTCACCAAGGTTGTAGGTTTGATCCCCGGTCAGGACACATGCAAGAATCAACCAATGAATGCATAAATAAGTGGAATAATAAATCTCTCTATCATTTCTCTCAAAATCAATTTTTAAAAATATTTTTTATTGATTTCAGAGAGGAAGGGAGAGGGAGAGAAAGATAAAAATATCAATGATGAGAGAGAATCATTGATTGGCTGCTTCCTGCACACTCCACACTGGGGATCAAGCCCGCAACCTGGGCATGTACCCTGATGGGAATTGAACTGTGACCTCCTGGACCTCCTGGTTCATAGGTCAATCAATGCTCAACCACTGAGTCACACTGGCCGGGCTCAAAACCAATTTTTAAAAATTAAAAATGAAAGAAAGAAAGGAAGGGAGGGAGGGGGAGAGGGAGGGAGTGAGGAAGGGAAGGAGAAAGGAAGAACACAGTAGGATGACTCAAACGATCTGATCTTAAGACTTACTATAACACTACGGCAGGGTTGGCAAACTATGGTCCATGGACCAAATCTAACCTGGAGATTGTTTTTGTAAGTCTTAGAAACTAAAAATGCTTTTTTTAGGTTTTTAAATGTTTGGAAAAAGAAACAAAGAAAAGTATGCAACAGGAATTATAGGTAACCCATAGTTTACAGAAACAGTTTACTAACTCCTGAGTTACAGTATTCAAGGCAGTATAGTGTTGGTAAGAGGACAGACAAATAGATCAATGGAACAGAATAGAGTCCAGAAATAGATTCACACATATATGGTCAATTGATTTTTGACAAAGTACCAAGGTAATTAAATGGAAAAAGGATAGTATTTTTGACAAATTGCACTAGATCAATTAGACAACCATATGCAAAAAAAGGAAGAGGAGGAGGAATAGGAAGGGGGAGTAGTGGGAGGAGGGGAGAGGAGTGGGAGGAGGGGGAGAAGAGGGGGGAGGAGGAGAAGGAAGGAAAGGAAGGAAGAAAAGAAGGGAAAGAAGGGAAGGGAAGGGAAGGGAAGGGAAGGGAAGGGAAGGGAAGGGAAGGGAAGGGAAGGGAAGGGAAGGGAAGGGAAGGGAAGGGAAGGGAAGGGAAGGGAAAGAAAAAGGTAAAAAAAGCCCACCTGGGCCCTAACTGGTTTGGCTCAGTGGATAGAGTGTTTGCCTGTGGACTCAAGGGTCCCAGGTTCGATTCCGGTCAAGGGCATGTACCTTGGTTGCGGACACATACCCAGTGGGGAGTGTGCAGGAGGCAGCTGATCAATGTTTCTCTCTCGTTGATGTTTCTAACTCTCTATCCCTCTCCCTTCCTCTCTGTAAAAAATCAATAAAATATATATATGTTTTTTAAAAAGCCCACCAGGTGTGGCTCAGGTCACGATTTGATTCCCGGTCAGGGCACATGCTGGGTTGTGGGCTTGATCCCAAATGTGGGGCATGCAGGAGGCAGCCGATCAATGATTCTCTCATCATTTATGTTTCTATCTCTCTCACCCTCTCCCTTCCTCTCTGAAATCAATAAATATTTTTTAAAAAAGGTAAAAAAGAATCTCAACCTATGTTGGGAGACAATTCTCCATGGGTCTCTCATGCATCTTCACATCTTAAGAGTTAGACATTAACTCCTTTTGTTCCAGACTTTCTTTTCAAGGATGTTTTCCATGAAACAGACTGGAGATAGTGTCTACCTTCAGAGCAAAGGGCAATTTTTTGTTTTTACTGTTCAGATAAAAAAAATAATGTATTTTTCTTGGGCAAAGGTTGCACAAGTTTGCCTGCAGTCCTTTATAAAAGACTAGTGGCCTGGTGTACAAAATTCGTGCACATTAAAAGGGGGTTAATTAGAGGAGATATTTTAATATTGCTATTTGCCCTTTCTCTATAATAGAAGCACAGAGATGAAAGAAAATTAGTAAAATGTATATGAAAATCTTCCTCTTGTCAGAGTCTGGGGCATGCCACAGGACCCAGAGTCAAGTCCCCGCCTACCCACGTGCATCTTGAAATCACGCGAGACCCAGACCTGGCTGGCCCCACCCCTGTCAAGCCCCACAGGGCGGGGGTGGGGGGCAGTTCAGTGGAACACAGCCTCAGGTCCCCTGGTCCAGTCTCAGGTCCCCCGGCCCTGGTGCAAGGGTGAGAGGGTGTGAGGGCATGAGGGCGTGATGCCCATTTGCATATTAGCTCTTTATTATATAGAATTGATGTTCCCTAAGCTTGGAGTTGCTGAGCTGTGATACAAACCCTCTCTGTGTACCTGTTTGTATTTCATCCACCTGGGTCTTTTGGCATAGCCCCTGTGAGACTTGGGGGACATGGGGAAGCAATGCAAACATGAAGCTCACACAGCTTACTGTGCTGTAACAAAGTTCTTTGTTTCTGTCTCAGGAGTCCTATGTCTTTTGTCAGCATCCGTTGAAATTGTGGCAGGGCAACTTGTTAACTTGCAAGTAGGGTAAAATTTTATATCCTTTATTGCTCTTGACAACCCCTACCTTGCATCATATACAAAAATTTTCTTGAAATGAATCATAGACCTAAATGAAAAACCTAAAACTATAAAAGTTCCAGAAGAAGACAGGAAATCTTTATGTCATTGGGTTAGACAAAGATTTCTTAGATAGGACCAAAAAGCATAACTCATAAAAGAAAACAAAAACTGAATTTCATCAAAATAAAAACTTTTGCTCTTCAAATGACACTTAGGATTGTCAGGGCAGGAAGACTATTCTGTATGTTACTCTAATGGTGAATACATGTCCTTATACATTTGTCAAAACTCATAGAATGTACAACACCAAGAGTGAAACCTAATGTAAACTATGGACTTTGGATGATAATGATGTTTCAGTGTAACAAAATATACCACTCTGGTGGGAGAAGTTGCTAGTGGGGGTGGCTATGTGTGTGTAGGGGAGAACATATGGAAACTCTCAATATTTTGCACTCAATTTTGCTGCATAAAATTGCTCTAAAAATAAAGTCTATTTTTTTAAAAAATGGGCAAGGGATCTGCCCTGGCCAGTGTGGCTTAGTTGGTTAAGCATTGCCCCCTGAACCAAGAGGTTGCTCGTTTGATTCAGTGTCAGGGTACACGCCCAGGCTGCAGGCTTGATCCCTGGTGGGGAGCGTGCAGAAGGCAGCTAATCGATGTATCTCTTATCAATATTTCTCTCTCTTTCTCTCTCTCCCTTCCTCTCTCTCTAAAATCAATAAAAACAATTTTTTAAAAAGGGAGGGGTGGGGGGCAAGAGAGCCCTAGCCGGTTTGGCTGAGTGGATAGAGTGTCAGCCTTCGGACTAAAGGGTCCCAGGTTTGATTCTGACCAAGGGCACATGCCTGGTTGCAGACTTGAGCCCTCTCAGAAGGGGGCGTGAAGGAGGCAGCCAGTCAATGATTCTCTCTAATCATTGATGTTTCTATCTCTCTCCCTTACTCTCTGAAATCAATAAAAAATTATATTTAAAAATAAATAAATTTATAAAAGGGCAAGAGAGCCCAGCCGTGGTGGCTCAATGGATGAGTGTCAACCTATGAACCAGGAGGTCATGGTTTGATTCCTAGTCAGGACATATACAAAAATCAACCAATGAATGCATAATAAGTAGAATAACAAATGGGTCTCTCTCTCTCTCTCTCTCTCTCTCTCTCTCTCTCTCTCTTTCTCTCTCACCTCTCCTCTCTATCTCTAATCAATTTTTTTAAAAAAAGGAATGAAGTATTGACATGTCACAACATGGGTAAACCTTGAAAACATTATATAAGTGAAAGAGTTTATTATAAAAGACCACATAGTGTATGATTCCACTTATGTTAAATGTGCACAATAGGAAATCCAGAGATAAGTAGATTAGTTGTTATGAAAGAGAGCAATTGCTAATGAATATGGCACTTCTTTTGGGGGGTGATGAAAATGTTCTTTATTTAATTTGTGTTGATGGCTGAATAAATCTGTGAATACACTAATTGAATTAAAAAAAACTATAAATGAGTGGATTTTATGGTTTATGAACTGGACCTCAATAAAAATGTTTAAAAAAAGATAAGGTAGAAAAACTGATTTTTGTCCATGGAAGTAAGTCCTCTAAGAAAATCTGAATCATAGAAACAAGTTAGAGACAAAAACTGGTTAGTAACTGGACTTGCCTCAGGGCTCTATATAAGTAATACTAGCATTTTTAAACTACTTTACATTTAAAAAATTTTTTCTGCTTTACATTTTGAAAGCATAAGGTCAACAATTTCATATTATTAAAAACAAAGAATACCGTCCTAGCCAGTTTGGCTCAGTGAGTAGAGCTGTAGCCTGAGGATTGAAGGGACCTCAGTTGGATTCCGGTCAAGGGCATGTGCCCTGTAGGGGGCATGCAGGAGGCAGCCAATCTGATTCTCATCATTGGTGTTTCTATCTCTCTCTCCCTCTCCCTTACTCTCTGAAATCAATAATATATATATATTTTTCAAAAGGATACCCATTTGTGCACTTTTGGGTTCTTATAACCTACATACATGTCTGAGTATGTTTGTATATAGGTACATATGTATGCATATATCCCATCATTATCAAAGATGATGCTAAATAAGCTAGTTGCTGGATGACCCCTTAGCTTTTTCACACCTGTGGCTGACACAGCTGTGTAGCTGCAGCTGCTGGTCACAGAGCCCAGGTTCCTATTTGTGGGTCAGCCTTTCCACCTTACAATCAGGTGACAAAGAATTTTGTTCAGCAAGCCCTTATTAGTGTTAAGTTTGGTCACTCACAGTTGGAATTAATTACCCAGGGCCTTGACTGAGTACCTGGTGATGGGCCTGGGAATGCGCTGTTTTAACAAGCCCCTCAGGAGATGTGATCTGCATTCAGTTAGACAGGCCCAGCTCCGGGCATCTATTCCTGATTGCTGTGGAGAAGCTGAGTCTGTCTTTGGCTTCACAGCCCTGTCCACCCTCTCCTTGTTCACAGGGTGAGAGCAGCATGCCTCCATATTGTTAACCGTAAATGAGATGTCCCTGCAGCTGGTGTCGGGTCTGCAGGAACAGTATACTCATAAGACTGCCTGGTATTTCCATTCTGTATGTGGTTTCTGCCTTGGGGGGGAGAGGGGGAATGCAGCTGATTTCTCATCAGAAGCAGCAGACAGCATATGGTTGGCTCTTCCCCTGGGCCCCACGCACAACACAGGACCTTCACTGGAGCCCTTAATCCTGGATTCTAGGGCCGGCTCTGTACCCTATGCCACATCTTATAGGGGATGATGGGGAAGCCTATTAGGTCAATAATCTCTCAAGGCTGATGCTGGCTCAAGTGCTTTCCCTGTTACTGTGCTGGAATGCTTTCAGGGGTGGGAAATTCACCAGGAGCAGCGAAGCTCTTCTGTCTCTCAGGAGGTCTGCTATGTGGTCCTGGAGCAGACAGCAGAGTCATGCCAGCTCACCTGCTCATCTCCTCTGGACACATACATTCTGGCTCCTTCCAACATCTTTTGGAAACACAGGTGTCCCTGTTTGGGTTAAAATCCTTCAGTGGCTCCCCATTCCTCTTAGGATCTGGCCCACAGTCTCTCCCGCGGCCTGCGGTCCTTGCGGATGTCCGTGGCCTCACCTCCTCCACTGTCCTCCACTGTCCTCCACTCTCGGGCCTTGGCACACAGCTCTTGCTGTTCTCTCGCCAGGCCAGGCTCTCTCTTGCCATGGCCTTCTCCCCTGTGTGTGGTTAACGCCTGCTCAGCTCCCAGCATCAGCATCATATCCTTGGCCCCCCAGGTCTGGAGCAGGTTCCTTGCTTGTTTAGGCGCCTAGCACTCTGGACCTCTTCCTTATTAAAATCTGTCAACGCTGGACATTTTCACTTGAACGGTTAGGTGTTTCACCAATGGCTCCCTCCGCAGATGATCAAGTTCATGAAAGCAGGCCTCTGGGTTTGCTCTCATTGCAGAGGGCCTGGCGGGTCCGTAACTGGATGAATGACTCGCTCAAGGAAGGCGGGTCCCCCACAACCTGGGTGCGGCGTGGCGACCTCTGGGAATCACAGACCGAACCGGAGCAGCTGCTCGTAAAAGTCCCCCGAACTGAGGAAATTCGTCCGCGAGCAGGGCGCCCGGGGAGCCCTCAGGGCAAGGACACAGCACAGCTGTGCCTCCAGCTGCCGAGGGAGAGAAAGGGGCGCCTGGTCTCTGCGCTTGGGGGCCTCGGTTTCCCTACGGGTTCCCCCAGGGGTCCGCCGAGAACCGCCCCTGCGCCCCGGAGCCCAGGGCTGCGGAGATCGGAGCGGCCCGGCCGGTGAGGCCGCCGCGCCCGGCGAGGGCGCTCCAGGCCGGTCCTCCGGCGCAGTCGCGCGCCGCCCGGGCCCCTCTAGCCGCCGGGGAGCGGCGCGGTGCGTGTCGGGAAGGCGGCGCGGGAAGGCGGGGGGCGGGCCTGGCCCTCGGCGGCGGAGGGCGCCATGGTGGGTGGGGATGCCGCCGCGGCGGTGGAGGAGCTGGTTTCTGGGGTGCGGCAGGCGACCGACTTCGCCGAGCAGTTCCGCTCCTACTCGGAGAGCGAGAAGCAATGGAAGGCCCGCATGGAGTTCATCCTGCGCCACCTGCCCGACTACCGCGACCCGCCGGACGGCGGCGGCCGCCTGGACCAGCTGCTGTCCCTCTCCATGGTCTGGGCCAACCACCTCTTCCTGGGTTGCAGGTGCGGTCCCCTGCCGGCTGGATGACCCTGCCCCCCGCCTTCCGACCCGCCGCTCTGGCCCAGGCGGACCCCGCCCCCGGCCTCCAGCCGCACTGGCCAGGCCTGCGTCCGATTCCCACCCTTGGCCTGCCCCTTGGGAAGATGTGTGTGGCCTCTCTGAGCCTCGGTGTCTTCGTTTGGAAAATGCGTTGTGAAGATTACAGTATTGAAGGGTGAAAAGCACCTAGCACACAGGCTGCCATCTAGCAAGAGCTCAGTACATGCTGGCCTCTGAAATTGCCGTTGTTATTTGTATTGCTAGTGTTAGCTCCAGCCGTCACCTCTGCAGAGTGCATTTCAAGTCCATTAGCTCCGTTCACCCACATGGCAAATGCAGACACGAAAACTGAGGTCCCCAATTTACATATGAAGAAGCTGAGAGAGGGGAAGTGACATACGTAGGGCCTTGCAGCTTCTGGCAGGATGTAATCTGTGGCCCTCGCCTTCATCTCCCCACTCCCCAGCCTGCTGGACCCTGAGCCAGAGCCAGCTTTTGCCTCATTGCCTTTCCTCTCAGGGAAGTAACAGATGTCTTGCATCTCCCCCCTCCCCAGCCATGAAGAAGGTGACAGATCTTGAGGCTCCCATCTCCTTTTATTTTAGCGTTTCCTGAAATTATGTTAACGATAAAATGACTCAGCTTACTCCTGGTTGTCTGACTCTTGTCACCTACCCCTAATTCACTTGATTATGCTTTCAGATGTTGGGGGTTATTAGAACAAGATTTGGGGAAGCAAATCTTGCCAGTCACATCCATCTCTTTTCTCTGCCTTCTAGGCGCCCCTGGGAAATCCTGGTTAACAGGATCCAAGATTCGGCAAATGTCAGAAAGTTGGATAAATGAACAAATAATTTTATTTTCATTAGACCAACATTCCATGTGTTCAAAAACTACAAAGTTTTTGGCTGTCATACCATATGCATGAATATGTACTGCCAGATGTACAGTGCCTCTATTTTTGTGAATGTTTTGCTTGTTTTGTAAATTTGTTTTGAAATACCTGCTCTCTTGGCATTCCTAGAGCCACTTCTGTATTCCCAACAGGAAGAACTGTTAACTAACCTGCTGCTGAACATGTATTGATTTCCCCTGTAGTATCAAATCAGTCCTCTGAGAATTGAGTTTACAGTCCCTTTACCTGCAGTTTCTTGTTAGCCCCATACTGACAAGCAATTTTTTCCCAAGGTTTTTAACCTTACTACTTTTTATTGTGCAGTTACAACAAAGACCTTTTAGACAAGGTGATGGAAATGGCTGATGGGATTGAAGTGGAAGACCTGCCACAATTTACTACCAGAAGTGAGTTAATGAAAAAGGTAAACAGGCTTTCCAAGTGCATTTGAAATGGTATAGAGTTGATAGTGATGCATTAGAATATATACTGTTTTCTGAATAGGGTGAACCTTTACTTCCTGCTTGTGGCAGATCCTCTCCTTGCTCTTTTGCTCCTAAAAGGTATTCTGCCCTCCCTGAGATCTTTCACATCAATTTTCTTTTGTAGTATACTTTCCTCTCTTGTATGTAGCTGTATTTTGTCATGCCAGGCTATTAGAGATCAGACCACTTCATGATAATTGGGTTGCAAAACCTAAGGAGGCTTTGTAATTGACACGCACATCCCTAACATTACCCATAGGCCAGAGTGAAGTGTATGTGTGTGTTGGGGGGAAGGTCTCTCTAAACTGTTATATATTGTAAAGGGGTCTTGAGCATCAAAAATGTAGGGAGCCCTGTCCTGGGATGTCCATTTTTTTATGCTGTCATCGCACACTGTGAGCCTCCAGCGGTTCTCAACCTGTGGGTCGCGACCATCGGAAAACACATATAGCATATCAGATATTTACATTGCGATTCATAACAGTAGCAAAATTACAGTTATGAAGTAGCAACGAAAATAATTTTATGGTTGGGGGTCACCACATCCTGAGGAACTGTATTAAAGGGTCGCGGCATTAGGAAGGTTGAGAACCACTGCTCCAGATAATAGTTCTCAGGCACGAACCTGGCATCCTAGAAACCAGCTTTGCAGTCAAACTAATCCTTAGCATCTGGCTACCTGGAAGAAGCCTGCAGGGAGCCTATAGTTCTGTAGCACTTTTGGATTACATGTGTTTCAATTTCCTTCAATACTTATTTTTCTTTTTCTAAATTTTTTTTAAAATTTTTATTGATTTCAAAGAGAAGGTAGGGGGAGAGAGAGAAACATCAGTGATGAGAATCATCAATTGGCTGCCTCCTCCTGCACACTTCCTACTGGGGATTGAGCCTACAACCCGGGCATGTGTGCATGACAGACTTTGTGCTGAAGGCTGTCCCCTCTCCATTGAAGGCCACCTTGAGAGCCCACTGGAAAGAGCCTTCAGAGACTTTGGTCTCTTCCCTGAGGTGTTTGCATGTAGTAGATACTGGCAAACCTTAAGCAACATTGCCAGCCCAGAACAAAAGAAAACCTTGATGTTGAGCCATGCACCTGAAAACATGTAGTTCTGCCCACAATTGACCCCTACCTCTAAAATTAGAGTTTAGTTGAGTCTTATGGCTAGCTAGCAGGTGGAAATGTATCGCCTGGCATTGTTGATATCTTAGGACTTAGTGAAGATGACTTAGGGACATGAGCTCTTTAAAGTAAGACTTTAAAAACACTTATGGTCCTGGCCGGTTGGCTCAGTGGTTAGAGTGTCTGGGCTACTGATGGTACTTGTCCAACAGTTGCAGTGTATGGTTTTTCTTTTGAAAGAGGGAGGTTCGAACACAAATATATGGAGTGAACAACATTTATCTAACAATCATCCCCAGGCACCTACTGGCAGCTTTTGTGGTTGACCAGCTTTATCCATTAACAAGCAATAATTAACAAATGAGCAGCAGCTTACTCAGAAAGGGTGTCATTATTATGACTGTCAGAATTAATATTTCCAATGTATTGTCTTAAGGAGAAAGAGGAGTGATTGACTAGGAAGCTGTCATTATTGACTAAAAGAAAGAATTTTTCATTGTAATTATTGTCCATTTCCCCTGAAAACATTTTTATCCATGAGGGAAAATGGCAGAATGGAAAGTGAAGAAGTTAGAAAAATGAGTGTATCTGCGTTTCAAGAGGTTCTTTTTGTGTGCATTCTGTACAGTCTTGGCAAGCTGTAGGGTAATGGAGTAGCCACTTGGTGGAAGGAGATAGGATTCTAAGGTGGTGAGTATTTGTATTAAAAAAAAAAAAAAAAAGCAGATTAGTTAAATCAGTTTTGTCTTGCATCCCCAAGATAAATGCTCAGTGGAGCTACCTTTTCCCCTTTATCTGCTAAAAGAAGCCAGAAAAGCTCTGTCTGACCCCATAGGCCATTCTGTTGCCTGGTGCCCAGGATGAGTGGATCACGTATCAACACTTTGTGTCAAACACCAGACTTGCAGCAACCAAAGCCAGTGGCAACTGTTGTGCTGTTGTAGTCTTGGTCTTATCAGAAATCTGAGAGACAATTTAGAGAATAACCTCCTTCCCTTTGAAGATGGTTTCTTTAGGTGGTACTGCATTCTCCTAAAAGGAGAAAGACTTCTTACACTTTTTGTTTTTGGTGAGGAATTTTGCTGCTTTTAAATTACTCAAAAAGACTGACGCAATAGGCTTAGCTAGGATATAGGTCATACCTTGAAAACTCTGATTACTAAAAAGACTCTCAGATTGATTCATTCACACTGCTAAATGTTAAGGAAATCCATTCAAATACAAGGTGACAGCCAAAATGATTTCTTCACACCTTCCTTAAAAGTTGTCTTAAGCCATGTTTAAATTTACCAAAGGTGCTAGAGAGTACCCAGAAATAATATGTCTGCTTCATTTCGCCACTATTTCAAGACAGTTTCTAATAGTGTGAAATCCAGAAGTACATAACCTTCACATCTCCTAAATATCCTCACTTAATGTGGAATGTTGTGAATTACTACCTGGATTTAGCTGATTTTAATTTAGAACAATAACTGTGTGATTCTGCTTTTAGAACCTTTCATTGCAAAGCATGCTAGGAAAAAAAGTTATATTTTAAGCATTTCCATTATCACATTAAATTGTGAACTTTTACAGATCACAAATGACAAAAAAAAAAAAATTAGGTTCTGGCTTCCAAATGGATGGTATGGTCAGAGTTCTGAATTTTTTGTGTGTAGTAAAATATTAATAATTTGAGTCTCCTTACTATCTGGGTAGTACATAAATATTGCATCGCTGCTGTATTTTATGAATCTGATTCACTGGGCTACATGACTACATAATCTTTTCCTTTTTCCCCCCAGCATCAAAGCTAAGACAGAAGATCCATCACATTTTCATTATCAGCTACAGGCTAGAAAGGAAGAATGTGACTTTGACCACAGAAGCTCTCTTACAACTCCTGGTATTACCAACATGTAGGGAAGAGGCAGTTGAAATGAAAGTGGCATTTTAAAAGGTCTCATTCTTCCAGTAGCTATCATTGTAAAAGTATGCATGGATATTTATGTATTTATAAATCATGCCTTTTAATTTTGTTTCTGAATATCAAACTTTTGGTTAAAATGCATATTTTTTTTATGTTGATGTAATAATGGCAGGTAATGGATTTTATACTTTGGATTTCTCAACAATGTACCTTTAAGTGTGATTCTGGTCTTATGGTCCTTTTTTCCCCCTCACAAACCAGACCCTTTATTTCCTATTGCTATCTGAA